CAGTGCGAGTCGTGACATCTTGAGGGTGGTGGGGGATTCCTTAGAAAAGAACCACGCGAATCACATAAATAAATAAATATATATATATACACATACATACACGTATGTATGTATATACATATATATATACATATATATATATATATATTTCACATGCATATTGATAGAACAATATATACACACATATATATATATATATTTATACACATATATGTGTAATAGAGACATATATAGACATATGAAAAAAAAAACAGATGCGCGGTTTGCCATACTGGCTGGCATTCAACATGTATTTGTTCTCTGTTTGAAGAAAATACAGAGAGCAACGGTCCGCTCACACACGGGGGTTCCTTGTTGAGCAAAGCCTTTCAAGAATTGGCCCAAATGGCACACGTATTTGAATACCAGCCCAGACGCGCCCTGGCCTTGACTTCGCGCTTGCACACACACGACGCGCTCAGGCACACACGAACACATGCACATACGGACACAGGGTAAAGTAAACGATCCGTTCTTTCTTCAGCTGTCCAAAGCCAAATGAAGTGTCACGCACGCATGTCAAGTGACTCATTTTCCCAGGGGTTCAAGTGACTCTTGAATAAACCAGGGGTTCACAGAAGAGCATGACGTCTGGGTTCATACACAGCCACCCTGGTTTGCGGGCCTTGCATTGCACGCCCTGAGCCTTTCGGCGAGTTCCGCAGTCCCAGGTGCCACTAGCACTGCAATTGTCCCTGCAGGCGGGCGGGGAATTGGCTGGGCCAAAAACTGGGGCAACGACTTCGCTCTTGGGAGCATCCAAAAGTGGCAGTTTCAATGGAAAGTGGCCAAGCGCGGCTAGAATCCCTTCGAAGCTGTGCTGGTGCCTCTGTCCTTTCTGCGTGTTGCGGGAGCGGCGATGTCGGAAGAGATGTGTCCAGAGGACGCCTCACCCTTTCAACTTTAGGCGACCGCGTCGGTATGGAGCGTCGTGCGGGAGGGCGGGCGGGCTGTTGTGATGGGTTTCTTTGTAGTACTGTTCTAGGGGTCGATTCCCAATTCTTTTCAACCCTCGTTCTTTTCAAGCACCGATCGCTGTTTCCCTGGGTTTTTTGCTGGTTTCCTGAGAAGCAGGATCCCTGGAAAGAACGGGGAAGGTTTCTCTGTGATACTGTGGATGGTTGCGAAATCCGTTGGCACCGCCTAACGGTCTCATGGTCGAAACCATGGTTTGTTGGTATTTAGGTTGGGGAATCGAATCACGAGCTAGGGTTTCTGAACGGTGGTCGAAATCCGAGCGGATTTCGCGTCCGTCTACAGCAGGTTTTGTTTAGAGATCGGGCTATTGGTATGTGCCTCTGGCCTTTTGTGGAGGCCAAAGTGATACCAACTGGATGGTTGCGAAATCCATTTCTCCTGCACCGCCGTTCAGAAACCCTGGAAGGATTCGATGTCCATGTCAAATACCAAGAAACAATGGGTTGCCGTGATTTCAAGGTGGTGCGATATGGATTTCAGCCACCTTTGTGTTTGGGTAGGACTTTAGTTGCTTACCTCCCATGACCACACTTTAGAGAGGTGTGTAACAGCATCCATCCTAGTGTTCACATAGTCCCCAGATACAACCCAAGACGACCTCATTTTCCGGGGTCAATCCCTTGCTTTGGGGGACACTTTTTGGGTTCCATGTTGATTTACAGGGCAGGAATTCCATTGGCACATCTTGGAGTTTGGGATCAGCACCCCTTGAGCCCATCGCGTGGCAATTTTTGGCCAGGCGGCGACGAGGCCACGAAGGGAGAGGGTTGGGTTGACTTGGCGGACAAAGACTATCGGTGTTGCCTTCCCTTGATGGTGGGGGTTATTATTTTTTCAAGACTTTGGATATGTGCTACCTTTGGGTGTGGCTCAAAATTAAAGAGCTAGGGTTGCGCAGCTTCTAGCCTTTGGTTCCATTTACCAAGGTGCCATTTTGGTACATGTATTTGAGCCACAGCCCTTTGTTTACCCCCAATCAGTATTTGTGCTTTGCAAGGCGGGGGAAAACGGGATGAAACCAATCTACCAACTGAGTTTTCCTTTCAAGGTGTCGGGGGTCGGAACATCCATCATTTAGATCTAGGGATCATAGGTGTCCTTTTTGGTTGTTTTGGTAACGAGAAATAGATGGGTTTCGATTCCTGGTTCACCTGGTGGTTTAGAGTCATCTACCAGGGGACTATTTCCAGGCTATTTCCAACCTAGAAGGACGCCGATGCTTGGGGAGTGCGTCTTGGTGTTTTCGCGAAGCGGAAGACACAAACGACCCGCTGGGTGTCGATTGCTGTTCCCCGAGGCCTGGAAGCTTTCCCAGCATGGTGGTTGTTGGGAAAGCCTTGTTCGCATTTTTGCTTGTTGGTGTTTAGTGGTTGGTTGAACTCCGACCACTCAACTTTTTTCTTTTTTTTTTTTTAAAGAAGAATAAGTTGTTTTTGCTCCCCTTCCAACGTCAGCCAAGCTAGGATCCCTTTGGAAGGCTTGGAGGGAGTGTAGGGTCCGAGCCAATCTCATGGAGTGGACTCGCAACGGTGAGTTGCTCGCCGGAACGGCGGCCAAGGCACACACGGCGTGGTCGAAACAGACGCAGTAATTGACTGCTTGGGCTTGGCTTTGGGTTGGGCTTGCTTGGGGTGGTTCCAGGGTTCCTCTGGTTTGGGGTTGGTTCAGGGTTGGTTCTGAACTGTTGTCGGCTGGTTTGGGATTCGTTCAGGGTTTGCTTAGAGAGAGCTTGGCTCAGAGGTGGGTTGGTCAAGGATTGGGCACATCTAGCCATGCTTCTGCCTATTTTTATAGCGAGCGCCAATGGGTGTATATCGAACTCACCATGAAAATGGTCCTTTACTTGGGGATCCTTGAATTCAGCTTTTTGGAATTGTGTTACAATTTGCAGATCCCTGGATCCCTCAATTCTGGTCGAAAAAGGTATAGGCAACCTACTCAGAGTTTCAGGAATCGAAACCGCGAAGCCACACCGCGAGGACGAGGAGTGGGAAGAAGGTGACGGAGAGTGGGAATACGAAGAGGCACGGGAGCTGGTCGAGAATCGAAACGGTTCTGAGCTACTCACACTAGGTCCCCAAGCAGTGCCCTTTTACCGTTCTTTTTTGGGGGAGGGTCCCTACTAAAATAGACTACCGAAAAAAGGGTACCCTTACTCTAACCTCTCTAGTAGAGGACTTAGAACATGTTCATGTCGAGTTGGACAACGCAACATGTTAGCCAGTTTCTTGGGCAGTTTGCTCCGTATTTGCGTCAAGTCCCAGCACATGTTTTGTTTTTGCCAGGCGCAGCGGCGTCAGTAGCTCCGTGACTCTTGTGAAAGGTTCTTGAGTTCACTTGGATTCGGCCAGTCTTGGCAACCAAGACTCATGACCAATCAAGCCAAGGAACGCTAATCTTTTTTGGTGGCCTTGTCGTTTATCTGCGTCCGGCTCGGTCGAAAAATGTACACCCATCCCTTACGGGGTAAGCCAACGCACTTCCCCCAAGGACGATCGCCAGGTCAAAGGAGGTTTTGCTACGGCTTTGGGTTTTGAAGTTTTCCTGGTTTCAGAGGGACCTCTGATCAGTTGACTACTTTCTCACCTGAAGTGGCTGGCTCTAAGCAGCGCCCATTTGCGCAGGGAGCGGCTACCTTTTCCAAGCGTTGTGGAAGGCAGTTGGATTTGTTTGAATTGTTGCATGGAGAGACCCAACAAGCCATTATGTCCCTCTCCAGATGCGTGTGGGCGTCCTTGGCAAAGTGCGCTATGAGTCAGGTCTCGCTTGTTCAGAGCTTTTGATCTTTTCATCCACGGTTATTGCCCCAAGAGCCTCATCTTAAATATCTGGTTTTTGAAATGAGATATGGATGGGTTGAACCTTTTGAGATAGAATGATTTTTGCTTTCCGGTTCAAATAGAACTGTAAATACAACTGATTTAGCTAGAATCCCTGTTTCGAGATAGTTATAGAATTTGAACCTCGCTTCCCTTGAAATGTCCCTTTGGAGCACCGTCTAACAAGTTCAATTTCGGATCTTTCTTATGCTACGAAAGGGCCGGAATGTAAAGAGCACAAATCGTATTTCGAATTTCCTTGTAGAAGTCCCTTAAATGTTTAGCCACATATAACATGATTTCTTGTTGAGAAGTAGTCTCTATTTAATTGTTATTGCCAAAATCTAATTGATTTGTGCTCATATTTTATTATATTTGACACTTAGATATATTTGGGAAAACACTCCTATCCAACTTCTTTTGTTGAAGATTATTTGGAGTTTACCCGAAACTGCTATGATCTCGTGGGGCTGGCTTTCACCTCAGGCATCCTGGCCACCGATGCCTCCGGAGAAACACAAGCCTCGGTGGCCTTTGGCTGTTGGTTTAGGCATGGTTGATCCATGTGAATGGGCCCAATTCTCAGGCTTCTGGGAACCTGCCCCTTGGAATGGTTTGGCATGCAGGTTTGGTTATATTTACATTTTCATGTAGCTCCTATTTGGACAGGATTTGCTTATTTAAGCTGTTATTGAACATAAACACATCTTTGAAACCTATATCCTTACTAGACTATATTCAAAATTATAATTCCAGTTAAAGTAAGATCCTATTTGGAAAGGGTCTCATATTGGGACATCATGGAGAACTCCGGGCTCCAAATTATCAGGCTTCGGGGACCGACAATTGAAAAAACATGAGAATCCAAATTTTGAGATTCTAGATTTATCATCCCCCAAAGGCAGTAAAACAGGGTCCATGGGGGGGGTTGCATATCTATATATATATATACCTATACACATATATATATACATATATATCTCTTCTATGCATTTCTTTGTTTGTAATGTACGCGTGAGCACCAGAAAGCTCTGGCAGCGGTCGGGTTTCCCTCAACGTCCCAAGCTGTTGACTTCCAGGGCGCCACCTACGATGATGCCTGGGGGGCCTGGTGGGTCGACTCACAGACGAGAAGTTCCGCGTGTTTTTTTTCTCCCCCCCTTTTCTGTTGTTTTCCTTCTTCATGTTTTTTTTTGGGGGGGTATTTTTCCTTCTTTTTTTGTGTTTTTTCACCTATTTGCTTTTCTTATTATTATTTTTTTGGGGGGGGTGTGAACGATGCTGACAAAGGAATTGTGTTTGTTTTTTCTTTTCTTTTTTTCTTGGGGGGGGTCCTTTTAGGACCCCGTTTTGGGGATGAGTCTTTTCTTTTTTAAATCGGGGGGGGTGTTCAGACCTCGAAAGGGACCCCTTTTTGAGATGACTTATGGCAAACCTCCGATTTTCTCGCTGTTCGGGCAAGGAGCCTGGCTTGGCGATCGCAAAGAACCAATTTGCTCTCCGCAAGGAGTCATAGGTGTCCTTTTGATCCGTTCGTGTGGTCAAAAATAGAAGGGTTCCACTGGTTTAGTTGTTTTTTGCGTTCTCGTTTACCAGGGGCACCCGTCTATTTTTCCAAAAGGACACCTATGCAAGGAGTGGGCTATTGACCAGGGAGCCGAAGGGCTACTCTGCAAATTTTGGCTTGACACCTACTCATTCTTGAACGGTTCCATTTTTTTAGGCGTTCCTGTTTTTAATCAGAGGTAGCTCTTGGCAATTACCTTGCGCTCCATGCTAAGAATGACTTCCGACCTTCACACCATCCTCTGACATTGGGAGTCTTTGGGATTGCACCAGCAATATCCTATTGAGGATCAGCTCTGGATCAAACCTTGTCATGTCTTACAATTTTGACTTGTGTCCCATGTTTGTGATCCCCAAAAGCGCCTTCTTTGGGGCTTGCCAGATTCCGAGCTGAATCCTAAACCAAGCCTCAACCCAAACTAAGCAAAGCCAAACCAATGCTACCAACCAGTGCCAACCTCCCCGCCCCCCCCCCCCCCTCCCCCCCAAGACCATCGCGGGGGGTGGGATGCATTTTGCAAAGGGATAAGCGTTCAACTTGCAACACTATGAGACTACGTAGGTGTCCTTTTTGGTTGTTTTGGTAACGAGAAACCGATGGGTTTCGATTCCTGGTTTGCCTGGTGGTTTAATCATCTACCGAAACCAATCTATTTCCCCGAAAAGGACGCCTATGTATGAAACTGGAGGGTCAAACGGCTGGCATGTAGCCGTGGCCTTCCTTTCGAGCCTGAGCGCTGTTTTTGGAGAGGGATTGCGAGCCGAAGGAAAGCGGCCAATCTCTGATTCCAATCAGTTGGCGTCTCAAGCCGCGAATTCCTTTACACCAAAAGAACAACGGACATGGGGGTTGATCAAACAGAAGTCCTGTACATGGGATGACCATTGGTTGGACAGCCACCAAAAGATGATATTTCACTCAATGGGAACATTTACCCTTAGTCATTTGGGGGGCCTTTAAGGGAATATGGATCAATCCCCACACCATGTTTTTGGCCACATCCAACCCAAAAATCCGCCTTCCGAGGCGCCCTCGCCATTTTTGTTGGGGCCGCCTTGGACCCCGTTTTTTTTGGGGGGGTCCCGGCATCCGGAGGATCAAACACTTCGGGGCGCGCGTGCGTCGGAGAGTCTGAGGTGGAGCTGGTGGACGAGTCGGGGAACTACCTGCAGCAGATCCGGCCGCAGATGGGCGGCCCGGAGACTCAAAGCCGATCGCCCGATCGCCGATACTCACTTCCTCAGTTCATGAGCTTTAAACCTTTTGGGAAGACCGTTTTAGTGGTAAATATGAAGTTTGGACTTTTTTTGGGCCATCCACTCAGCAAGCGAGGATAGGCAGAGGGGAAAAGATCGGAGCAGTTGGTTGGAGAGGGGGTGTGCCATGTAAAGAGGGAACCTCTCTGGCGCTTTTCTCGGAATTGTCAAGGCCCAAACGGAGTTGAAGGTCTTCTGACCCCGCATCGTCAACTCAGCGGGGCTTATGTTTGGGTTCAGCCAGTTTCTCACAGCATGAGAACCCAAAAAGTCGAGCTTGTTCTTCATTTCCGGGCTCGTCAGATGGGCCCGGTGATTCAGACAAGTTCATCCGCACGAGTGGGGGGAAGCGCCCCCATCCCCCGCGCCGGGGCGAAATTGGCAGGCCGGAACCGCATGTCCAACGTGGGCATTCACACCATCGAGCCGGGGGGCTGAGACAAATGAAGTCAAATGGGTGTGGCTCAAAATTAAGCAACTGGGGTTACGCGGGTTTTAGTCTACCTGTCCATTTAGTCTACCTGTCGGGCTTTAGTCTACCTGTTCCATTTTGGACCCCCATTTCTAAGCCACACCCAAATGAAGGGGGGTACTTTGAGCCCCGAAAGCCCTCGCTTGGGGAGGGTCGAGCCTTCTTTGGGGCACCAGTCTTCGGGGGTTCTGTAAGGATGCAGGATGCCATGAAGCTGGTGCCGATTTCTTGGAGCGCGCAAGCTGGGATCGTGGTGTCATCTACGCTTTGTGTTTCGAGGCGTGCTCCAGGCCTCCGCAAGATGGAGAAAATACAAAAGGGAAGGCAATACCGTGGGTGCGCTCGCTCCACGAAAGTTGAAATCATGGTGGAAAGCGTTGTTTGTTGGTAGTCGCGTTGGGGAATCGAATCAGAAAACGTTGGGTTTCTGACGCAAAATCAACCATCCAGTGGGTTTCGTGTCTTTAGATTGCCTCCTGCCAAAAAGGCAACGAGCAGCTCACCCATGAAGTCTTCTTTGGGGATTCCATTCTGCCACGAGTTGCTTGCCCAGATTCTGTGCTTAGGATCTACTATCCACAGTTCTACTTTAAGCAGACGGAGATGGAAGAGTACGATGCCAGGCTGGCGACGAGTGTGGAGATCTTGAGAGCAGATGCTATTTGTTTGGTTTGTGTGTGTGTGCGCGCGTGTTTGCGCGCGCACGCGCCCATCTCTCCCTTTTTTGAAAGGACATAAAGAACGAGATCCCACAGCACTTTGCCATGGTTTGTCGGTATTTAGCAAAGAAATCGAATCATTCCAGGGTTTCTGAACGGTGGTGCGAAATGGTTTTCGTCCATCCAGAGTATGTGTGTGTGTCTGAGAATTTGAGTGTCTTCTTGTGTCGTGCTTTCGTCACGAAGCATCGGTTTGCTGGGTGCCAGGCCCGACAGATACGGCCCTTCCGTGATCGGCAAGTACACCAAAGGAGCCTTAGATCCAACAAAGGCAATGAGCGCGGCTGTTGGGTTTGACTGAAGTTTGATCCATTTTCCAGATTTGTCTTATTCTTTCATCGCCGTGGCTGTTGGGTTTGACTGAAAGAATCATTCATTTTCCAGAGAATGTTTTATTCTTTCATTGGAAATACCCATCTTGATCTATTCCCCAGGTTCGATCTCATCTCGGCTATTTGGCTGGAACGAGGTTGTATTTCTTGGTTGAACATGTGGCCTCTGGACAATGGACTTGGGGGTGATTGCATGGTTGGTTTGGGGCTGGTTTCGGGTTGTTTTAGGGTTGGCTTGGCGGGTGAGGGTTGGAGTTGGTTTAGGGTCACCAGGGCATCGCCTCTCAGGCGAGGGCGCTTCTTACGGGGTCAGCCAGGTTCGATTTCTTTGCTGGTTTCGAGAGAAGTTCACAGGAAGCCTCGGGTGGGTGGGGGTGAGGGTGGGGTGGGTGTGGGTGGGGTGGGTGGGTGGGTGGGGTGGGGTGGGTGAGTGTGGGTGTGGGTGTGTTGAAAGAGGCACCTCTGGGTGTCCTAAGGTCGGTGTGAGATGGATTCCGCTTTTTGGTTCAGCGCCTATTTTCAAATGCACGGAGATGGCGAGGTTGCCATGATGAGAAGGGTAAGCCTGGCGATTTGGTGGCAAACCGCGAAATGAGCACTGTTTAACTTATTTGATTTCCAGTGATACCAATATGGAGGCATTCCCATCACTACTTTGCTTTGAAGGGGATTCTCTTGTTTTCGCGGAAAGTAGACGTAGAGCCCTACTCTCAAAAACCATGGACGCTCATATCTTCCTCGTTTGCCCGTGACGAGGCCAAGACATGGTCGCCCGTTGCTCATTTGTGCATTTGCCAACATGAGAATCATGCACAAGGCGGGCCTAATTCAATTGTTGGCCCAAATCGCAGCTCGGACACGAGGGAAAAGCACAACATAGGACGAGCCAAGTCTTGCGTAGGATGGAAACCAAATCAAGCTTGCTCCATATCGCATCGGATAGGCTATCTGAAAGAGAGCCATCCTCCAGCCCAGCCACACATGGCCGTGGCTCAAGAACAGTACCCAAAATGGCTTGCCCTGGAAAGTAGCAACATGGAAACCAACACCTGCGGTTTGCCCCTGTTAAACATTTTGAGCCACATGGGACCACAGACTACCTGCGTAACCCGGGCTATTGCGCCATCGCTCAGCTTAAAAGCCGAAGCCGACGCGTGCCGGCCACACATCTGCAACTCCGAGGCATCGGCATGATCGAGGCCCGCTACCCCACCGATGACGAGGCCGAGCCGCTCCTCTGCGGGTTGGGCGGTTGGCACGTGGTGGGCAAGCTGGGTGATGAATCGGCCGCAAAGAGGTTTTGCCATGGTTCTAAGTCTCCGTTTTTTTCTTCTTCTTGTTTTTTCTCTTTTTTTTCTTTTTTTTTTCTTCTTATTATTGTTAGTGTTATTACTATTTTGTTTAGAATCACCAGGCTTACCTAACCCTTTTTCCCCGACCTGAATCGATCGCTTGGAGCAGCTGCCATTTGCCCCGTGGGCCGCGTGACCCGAAGTCCGAAGTCCCAAGGCTTCGCCGCTCGAGACGAGCCTTGCGGCGTGCTACGTGCCTTTTCTCACCGTTCCTTTTTTTGGGAGGAGGGTTCCCATACGAAGGTAGACTACAGAAAAGAAAATGGGTACCCTTGATCTTTTGCTTTGAGTGTTTTTTTTGTACATTATTTGATGAGTCCAAGGTTTGCGAGTCTCCCTTTGAAACGGAGAGGGTCACATTCCCGAAGATGAAGAACAACTACAAGCACCAGTAAAACAGAAGCTGGAAAGCTCAGAAAGGACACAGCAAAGAGAAACACAGACTCGACTTGACTCTCAAAAAAAACACAAACTCAGATTCAACACAAATCAGACTTCAGTCTCAAAAAGGTGGACTCAGGCCCCAGGGTTGGGGGTGTTTCGGGGTGTGTGTGTGGTCGGAGGAAGGGAAGGGCCACATGTTCTCCGACTCTTCGGTTGTTCCATCCTGCGGGTTGTAAGCTCTTTACCCCAAGTCGGGGTCTGCCATTTGACGCCTTTCCGCCTCATGAAGCCGGCGGAAAGCAATAGCTGAGAGAACCGCTTGGTGCGCAGAAGTCGTCAACAGTTCTTCTGAGAGGTACTCAAGTGGGTTTGCGCAATTCGTGGATAGTTTGCTTTGGATATCTTTTTCCCTGGACCAAAAATCCTCTTGCAACTAAATGGTCTAAGGATTAAACATGCAAGAAAGCCCTGGATTTCATTGGGTCTTCAGGTCCGGACATTCTTCGGTCACACCAAAGACTGTTATCACCACCATCACCATCATCGCCATCGCCACCAACACCATCACCATGCCCATCATCATCGCAAACACGGTATCACCATCATCACCATGTCCGTCACCATGCGTGCCAAGAACTGACACAAGTGACCCGCTGAGACCGGTCATTCTACTGCGGTAGTCTTCAATGACTGATGACAAAGGCTATCTTCCACGGGTCGTGAGTAATTACGGCCCATTTTGCAATCCCAACAATTTCATGGCCACCTATCAAGCTTAAGGCGGATCTTTGGACTGGCAACCTGTGCAACAGGATTTAGTTTTTATAGCGCTTGCTTGGTTGCAATCGAGGTCTGGGTGCACGGAGCTTATGATAAGGACCGTTCATGAGGTGCTCTTACTTTGGCTATGTGTCGAATTTGTTTTTCTTTTGGTCTCCGGTTCCCTACAAAAACAGACACGCACACACACACTCTGCATCAGAGTCCTCAAGAAGCAAGGCGAAGGAGAGGCGAGGTTTTGAAAGCGAAGACGTGAGGACGGCGCGGCCAGAACCGAAACCCTGCTTCTTTGCCTGGGGATCCGCGCTTGCGGCTTTGGAACCTTGGGCAAACATTGCACCTGTCGAGAGAAGACCAAGGTCTTGGGACCTCCAAATCCTGCAGAATATGTTGGGCGCGGCGCGCGTACAATGAACTATGGGGCGCGCAGGCGAGAGCGTTGTTCGGTAACAGCGGTCTTTGCCCGGACCGTGTCTTGGCGAGCTTGCGCAGTCGAAATCAAGATTGATGTCGGCACCACAATATACACACCATACCTACTCTAACTATGAAAACTCTTTGTTCCTATAAGTACTTGCGTGTTCACGCTGTTTGGGGACAACGACGCATTCAAATTCGTCTATCCAAATGTCCACCTCCCAAACAAAGGCGGAAGCCCAGGATGAAAGGGTTGTTGTTGGGGGTTCGACGCCGAGAGGGTTTGTCTCAGGGACACCCTTGCGCTTATGTCTTTCCAGTTGTTTCCTTTTACGAGTCCAACACGGGTACCAACTCATAAAAGAGATAGGGCGTGCCATTTTTTTTGTTATATTTTTCCCCTTTCTCTCCTTCTGGTTGGTTTTGACGTCGTTTTTTTCTCCCCCCCTTTTTGTTTCTCCTTTTTTTTACGGGACAGGGACGCTTCAAGCGTTTTTGGGGGGTCAACCCCCATGTTGAGCTCCGCCAGGACCCGGTGAGCTTTGCCATGACGGTGACCCATCGGCTTATGGATCGCATGGAGAAGGCTCCCGGGAGGGAGGGAGTGACTGGGCGGCGCTAGGAGTCAGTTCTCCTCAAAATTGCCTGATACCCCTCAATACCTGGAATCCTCGATACAGATTCAGGTTTGTATTTAGGTTTCCTGTAAAGGTTCCATGTTTCTGGATGGTTTCCTGTGGCTTCAAACCAAAAGGGGGGGGGCTGAATCATCATTTGAGAAACACTTCGAATATAATGTTCAATACAAATCAAGCCAAGCAAATGTGCTTCTCTTAATCCTCATTTTGAGAAACATTTCAATGAGTTACTTGCACAAAGCCGATTGGGAAGAAGGTCAGCAAGGGATTGTCCTAACCCAAAGGCGCAGCTATCCGCCCTTATAATTCTTGACATGGTGACCATTTCAATACCTACCAGTGTGCCCCCTTTAAAGGACAATGGTCCAAGCCAGGACTCCGAGACGTCAGTTTTATGTTTGTGGATGGTTTTGGTCATGTCTCAATTCAGTGCATTGGGGAAGGGTGGAGCGTCACAGATCCGCGCCTGAGGATTCCTGAAGCAACCTCACAAATGTCCACATATGGCAGCATACAGCTGGTTTTCCTTTGGTGCTCCTTTCCAACAAACCAGAAAGGAGGTTTCCCAAGAAAGACGGTCGTGCCAAGAGCCCTTGGGGATTTTCTCGCCCCGACAATGCATTCCTTCAAGTTGAGCGTGCCAACCTACATTCGGTATATATGAGAGCCGGAAGCGCGTACAGTTTTTCTTTTCCACACGCACACGCGCGCACATGTTTGTGTGTGTTTGGTTTTCTCAGGAATCAG